ATTTTATAGATGAGGATTGAGACACAGGGTAGCTGAGTGCTTATTCTAGGTTATCCAGATCAGTCAAGGCCCAAAGCCCATGTGGCTCCAGATGACTGTTTCACTAGACATGTTCCCTGGCCTTGGGATAGAACAGGTGGATGGAAACTACCAAGCTTACTCCATTCTAGTTCACATATCCTGTCCCAGATGACTCAGTTCCTAAAGATGTTTGGTGTGAGCTGGTTTCAGGGGTTGGCTTTGTGACAGTCCCTGCAAATGTGTGACTCTGCATGGTCAGAAGCCATATTTCAGTACTCCTGGCTAGGTCAGGAGTGGGCTGATCCATAGCTGTGGTCCTGTTTCCAGGAGTGAATGCTGACTGACCTGTCCAGAGGTACCAGTACATGCTTCCCTGTCACGGGGTGCTTATGTACAGCCAAGGGTCTCTGAATCATTATTCCCCAGCAGCCAGCTTTCTGGCACATCTCAACCCCAGCCCAAAGTGGTTTTGCTCTTGAGTTCTGAAGCCTGGCATGACACATTATGGCATTCACATGCGTTCCTGGGACCAAGTTGCAGGCAGAGATGTTTCTGTTTGCCCTGCCCTTGGAGCCCCTCTGCAAGGCTCTGTACATCCAGCACAAGCAAGGGGCCAGGGGCATCCTTGTCCTGTCTCTTTTAATTTTCCTGCCCTCTTGTTTCTGGACTCATCTTCCAGAATGGCTCTGTGGACACGGAGGTTAAACTTGTTGCCTGCTTATCCATCCATTCAAGGACATGCCATGTATTAGGATGAACATAATATGATTGTTATGAGCACATCAGTTAACATCATGACATTTACACCATTACTCGCTGGGTGTTTCCTGGGCTGCCTCATCAGAGTCTGATGTCCTCAGGTGGCCTCCCTTCCAGGAACAATTCCATAGATTTTGGCTTGGGTCCCATCCTTTGGTGAGTGAACTTGGAACTCAACTGTCCAGCTTGGGAATGATAGCCATCTTTTTTTTTTTCTAAGTAGCTACTATGTGGTAGTCACTGTGATAGGCACTGGAGGGGTGTGTGTGTGTGTGTGTGTGTGTGTGTGTGTGTGTGTGTGTGTGTGTGTGTGTGTGTGTAATGAACAGGATGCAAGTGCTGTTGTCTTTTAGAAGCTCAGAGACCAGAGCAGAGGCAGGTGAGCCACTGCAGTGTGAACAAAGTGCTGAGAGGGAGCGTGGAGCCATTCTCTAGAAGAGGCGGACTGCCCTGATTTGTAATGTTCTAAGCAATTAATTCATCCCTTCTTAGAACTCTGAGCCCTCCCACTGACACACACCTTATTTGTTTTCTTCATTAGTCTTAGGAAGCTTACACACAAAAATGCAGATAAAAAAGTATCTTTAAACTCCTCCCCCCCCCCCCCCCCCCGCTCCATCCACTCTCCCTCCCCCCATGCTGTGTAGCCCAGGCTAGCCTGGAATTCGAAGTCCTGACCTAGCCTCCCAAGAGCTGGGATAACTAGAGCAGTGTGTGCCCAGCTCCATTTAGCTCCTCACTTTCCAGCTTCTTCATAGTCCTTGTTATCCTCCATTCTGAATCCATATTTCAAGCTGTTTTGTGTCCTTAGCAGATAGGAGAGTGGCCCCCGTCACTGTTTCCTGCCTAGTGAATCTTCATGCAGACATCTGGGAGGTGGACCTCCCTCTAGGGACCACTCACTCATTTCTGAGGAGTTTGCTCAGCAATTAAAGGATTCCTTTTACAGCCAAAGAAGATCTCAAATCTGGAGGTTAGAACCTGGGGTGAACAGCTTTTTTCTACAGTGGCTGCCAAGCCTGCTCATTCCTATTCACAGCAAGCAGTACTTTGGTCTCCCCTAAACTCAGGTTTTATGGTTAAGGGCTAGGGGTGTGAGATGCTGCAATACAGTCACATACAAGAGTAGCCAGCTTGGGCCAGAAGGTGTCTGGGCTGGTGGGGAAGACACCAGCGATTGAGCCCTGCCTCACCTAAAGCCTGGAAAGTTCTGGAGAGACACACAAAGCACTTGGCATTTACTGGGGAGCCGAAAAGCCCTTGTCTCCTGGCTGCCACTCAGAACAGATGTGGAACGCTCATTTCTCACATTTACTTTTCTTGCTCTTCCTTGAGAATTCTGTACTTGTTCTTTCTCTTTTACTCTCCCCCCTTTTTTTTCATTAAAGAAGGCATGGGGGAGAAGTAAAGCAGGTCTGCATTGTTTGCTTGCAGAGAGCCCCTCAAAGACTCTCCTGGATCTGATAGGGTGTGGAGAATTGAGAAGGGACTCGGGGAGTAACATCTCACACCACCTGGTTGCTCCTTCTGCATCCTCAATCTCAGGACCTGCAGCAGCCTCATCTGCTAGCCCTTCGCTGTCTCTCTCGTTTCCTGCTGCCAGGCTCAGCTTCCTGGGCCCCATGGTGGCCATGGGCCTGGACGACTGGAAAGTTGCAGACTATAGCTCCAGCTTTCACATGCCCTACTTGTAGCTTGCAAAGTAGTTCCTGTTCACACCCTGGCATGTCCCCTCACTGCTTCCTGAGTGGACCACACGCAAGCCCTTCTTCCCCCACCCACTTTAAAGAGATCTGGTTCAAGTCAGGGCCACAGGATAGCTCCCCAATTAGCCTGCCATGTGGATTCTGCATCGTTCTGTTGGAATGCCCTGGGTACCAGTGGAGTCAGGGTAGAAGGCTGTTTTCCATAGCTGGATGGTGAGCTCCTGGATTGTCCCATTCATCCTGATTATTCATCCTGGTACCTATGCTCAGGGATCTGCCCACAGTGACCCGTTTGTCTCTAGTGGATGGTTTCCTCAAGGGGGCAGAGGGCAGGGGATGGGTGTGTTCTGGCTCCATCTGCCTTTGTCTTAAGATAGGGTACATTCTCTGCCCTCCTCACTGCATTCTTCTGTCCTTCCCTCTCTCCATTCTTTGTGACAGCCCTCAGGTCTTTGCTGATTACCTGTCCAGTCCAGAGCATCACCTCAGCCATCTTCTTCCCTGTTCCTCCTAATTTAGTATCCTTTTCCTAAAGACCCCCCTAGCCATCAGGACATGCCATCTCAGGCTCCCTGTTGTGCTCTAAGATTCTGTTAGACTGGAAGACTGCCAAGGGCAGCAGTGTTTAAAATCCAAGAGAGAATGACACACGGGCTTGGAAGCATACTCAAGCCCACCGTTTCCTTTTCTGTAAAATGGACCGGTCACCACACCTATGGGGTAGGGTCAGCCTGGTGAATGTAAGGGCTGATGAATTGCATTTGCTCTTTAGTCTGATAGTGACTCAGCTGGGTGTTGTAGTGAGACTTCACTGTAGCTTTGACAAGTGTGACCAGGGGGAGCAGGGATGTGGCACTGGAAAGCCTTCTTCTCTTGTCTGCCTGCTGTCACCTGGCTTTCTGGTCCCAAGCCCCGGAGGTATACGTTCATTTCTAATCACACAATGATGGGACAGCCCAGGGACCAGGGGATATTGGTATGACTAGTGCAGATGTGAGCTGGGGAAAAGAGAGGGGAGAAGATAGCAAGGCGGCGGCTTAGCATTGGGGCGCCTTGATGATACCTCACCCCCCCCAAGATATAACAATTCCTCTTGTGTTCAGAGCCCATTCACCATGACTGGCCTCACCCTTGTTGGCTCACTTCACACATAACACATCTGGGTGTTCCTGAACTCCACACTGGCAGGAGGAATGGTAGCCAGGCTGGCGTGAGCTGCCAGGGAAGAGCAGGTCGCCTAACTCTAGTCCAGCTGGTCGATGCCCCCATCGAAGTAATGTTATAAGAAAGAAGAGGTGCCGGGCGGTGGTGGCGCACGCCTTTAATCCCAGCACTCGGGAGGCAGAGGCAGGCGGATCTCTGTGAGTTCGAGGCCAGCCTGGTCTCAAAAGCGAGTACCAGGAAAGGCACAAAGCTACACAGAGAAACCCTGTCTCGAAAAAACCAAAAAAAAAAAAAGAAAGAAGAGGTAACCCTGCACCCTCAAGCAGTCGAGTGAGGCGGCAGAGGACAGAAAGCCTTAGCCATTCTGGCCAGGTTGCTTGGTGCTCCCACAGGAGCCACCTAGACATCTGACCCCTTTTCTGTAGACAACATCCCAGGACCGTTGTGTCCAACAGGAGAGATGCTTGCTACTGGTGACTGTTCACACAGAGCTTTGCTGCTGGGCTCCCCCTGGGTTCAGAAGGTGCCCAGAAGAGTGAAATAGTGCAGTTTCTGTAAAGGAGCCACACTCCAGATCTCAGAGTTATCACCTCTAGGGTGGGGGTAAGTGAACATGAAGTCCTCCTAGGTAGAATTACTGTCTTCACTCCACAGCCATGGCCAGCTGTGTCCATCTGTGCCTCCATGGTAATGAATAACTTCCTGTCCTAACTAGATTTTGTGCTGCCCAGAGGGCAGCCTATGTTTCTTAAAGGGCTCCCTCTTGGGGCTCAGAATAGAGGGTTGAGGGTTTCAGGGTAGACCCCTACCCCTTGGAAGGTCATGGATTCGTCCATCGTCCATCTAGCCATCCCTATGGAGTGCCTTCCAGAAGCTGAACTCCTTGTTGGGTGCTGGGGTTACAGAGCCTGGTAAAATTTAGCTCCTGCACTAGGGATTCAGCCACACAAAGGAAAGACTTGGTCTCTGTCCCCCCTCCCCCCATCCCCTCGCTCCCCACCTCCAGTCTTTTATTTCTCGTTATTTGCAAACTGTGGTGGCCCCAGGTCAGCAATGCAGACTTCTGCACAAGCCCAGGGGAGGCTGTCTTTATTGCAATGCTTTACAAGAGGACCAAGGGGTGTTTCGGATGTTCCCCTGGCAGGCACATTTTCTTTTCTGGGACCTCGGGCTCCAAGAGAACCCAGTTGTGACCAAGAGCACTGCTACCTTGCTCTGCTGCTGGCATAAGCAGTGTCCCACTCGAACCACCTGCCCCTTGCAGCTCGGCGTCCCACTCAGGAACGCAGAGGCGGGGGCTCGCGCAGCTGCAGGAGTCTCTCGGAGCCGCGCTTGCGTGTGCGCGGGGAGGGGGCGGGGAGGGCGGCGCGCCCCGCGGAGGCCTGGGGGCGCTTTCCTACACCTTGCGTCTCTGCTGCGGTCCCTCTATCTGTGCGCAGTAGCCATTCTCACGTGTGCAAAAGCGTGGTGTGTGTGTGTGTGTGTGTGTGTGTGTGTGTGTGTGTGTGTGTGTAAAGGTACAGCTTGAGACCATGAGACCATGTTGTGCCCCAGGCTGGACAGGCCCGATGTTCTTAGGGGGCGTCGGCCAGCCTGGTAGTGACCGCGTTTCTTTCCCTTCCAGCCTTTCTCCCCAGACCTATCCTCTGGCTTTCTTGGATCCTTGGTACCTCTAGCTGTCCCCTTCTTCTCGCCATCCTTGCTAGGGCAAAAGAAATCAGTGCTTTCCCATGGAGGTGCTGCTTCATTCCCAATCACTGAGCCCTTGACATTTAGAAGGGCTCTGGGCACACTGGTTTAGGCACACAGCAGACCGCTAATCCTATTAAAGATATTGTGTCATGGGGAGGGGGGTAGCCAAGCAGGCCTTGAGCCCATTGGTCGGATGCAAAGCAGGGGGCGGGGCTCAGAGCCAGGGGGAAGGGGCTCTAGGCGATTTCAGAGTCCAGAGTCAGGGCTGGGATTTCGCCGGGCAAGCCCAGCGGTTGCAGCTGCGGCGGATCCCGAGGCTCTGCCCGTGGTGCACCCGGGCAGCCTAGGGCCGTCAGCGGCTCCGCAAAGTCGCGGAGCAAGGGAGGTCGAGAGCCCGCAAAGTGGTGGGGCTCCGGGCTGGGTCTGGGCTAGAAGAGGCGTGCCTGCGGAGCCTGGATCCCGGCGCCCTTCGGCCTCGAGTGCAGCGACCGGTTGACGGTGCAGCCGCCTGGGGAAGAGCAGTCAAATTGCAGCCTCCCCAAAGAAGCTTAGTTACGCAGGCGAACCGGCGGCTCCCTGAAGCGTGCTTAGAGCCGTGTCGCAGAGCCCTCCCGGGCCAGCGGGCTAAGGCTGGGATCCCGGCGCCGTCCCAGAGGCAGTGGACCCCTGGCAGCGGGTTGCTCCGCTAGTGCTCTCCGGTGCAGAGAAGGGGCGTGCAAAGCTCCAACGGTCGGCCCGCTCAGAACCCGTGCCCGACCCGGGTGCCCCCTCTGTCCCACTCTGGGAGCAATGCCCCCCGCCCCTCGTGCCCCCCGGGAACGACGCGAGCATGGAGAAGTCGAGTAGTGAGGATTCTTCGATCCACCGGAGTCCATCTTTGGACAGCAAGGACTCGGACTTTGCCAAGCCGTCCACCTCTGGCCGCCCGTTCGGCCGTGGCTTCACGGCTGGCGCCTTCTACGGCACCGCGGGTTCTCGGGGTCAGAGCCACACGGAGGCCGGCGTTAAGACTGACAAGTACAATGCACCCAAAGGCAGCAAGTACGTGGTGTTTTACCTGGACCTGTCCTTTGTGTTCCTCCTAGAATTTAAGAAGTGCAACATGGCCAGGGGCTGCCTCTGCTGCTTGAAGTACATGATGTTCCTCTTCAATTTGATATTCTGGGTAAGTCCTTAAGGTTGAGTCTTCAGTCGTTCCCTCTCCTTGCTTTTCACACCGTGAATACCCTCTTCCTCCTCCTTGCTGCATCGTTCCCTTCTCTACTCAAAGGTAAGTGCTTAAAAAAAATCGCATCCCTCCTTTAGCGTCTTTCTCTTCGTTTTCCCCCCTTCTCACCTATGGCTGAAGGGAGGCTCCAACTTGTCGGTCTTCCGGGAGAGACATGGTCTGCTCCCAGGAAGCCGGCAAAGTTTGCCACTGCCTCCTTCCCCACCGTAGGAAAGCCACGCTGAAGTACCTGCACCGGGGAACCTGCATCAGTGGGTGTGGGTCAGACTTGGAGCAGCTGTGCCGCCGCGCTGGTGGGAGACACGGGGAGGATGGTTTCCGAGGAGTTTCTTCTGCTGCTCCTGAATGCAGGAGAACAGTCTGCAGCATTGTGGGAGTGGGATGGAGGGTGTGGAGGTCACAGCCTCCGGCACATTTCAGTGCCTCCCAGGAAAAGGAAGAGGCAATGATATGGGATGGGGCACTGGCTCTTGCTTTTGAGGGATTGCCATGGACTGGGCAGCCAGCAATCTGGCCACACTTTCCCAGGCTCCAGGAGGCCCCAAGACGAGAAAGGACAAAGGGAGACAGGCAGTGGTGACCCCGTCCTTGATGAGAGATAATTATTTTTTCTAGAGAAAGTGTCTATGGATGCGCTGGCTTAGAAATACCCCCTGTCTGATGTGTGATACTGGGGACCAAGCATGCACAAGAAGTACTAGTAACAAACTGGATGAAAACTTCTTAAATTCATATTGGATTCTTTCATCCTTAGTACTGCCTCTGTCTTTCTTCACCAGAGCTCAGACTACTCAGCACAGATGTTTGGCTCATCCCCAGGCTCTGTCCTGGCCACTGGCTGGAGGCTGTCAGCTGCCATGCATGGTCCAGGAGGAGCCTAGGGGCAGGAGAAAGACATCCGCGGTGAGGTTGGGTAGCAGTGTGCAGCTTCTGTGGAGTGACCAACCCACTTTAAGAAAAACTTTTGTGTGTGTGTGTTGGGGGGTGGGCAACTTTTCTGGAGAAGTGGAAGCTCTAGCCTGTGAAGGCAGAATCGTGAGTCTTGTCTGGTTTCCATTCTTCGTTAGATTCTTGTGTGACCTTGAGTGACTCACTGTGCCCCTTCAGGTTGGGGCTTCTTCTCCAGTCCAGGCTGTTAGGATGGTCTTCACGGTCCTTTCACGGTCCTTACTGCCTTAGCCATGTCATATCCTGGGGGTGTCACCTAGCTGATCCCCTCAGTGCATCTGTTTCTTTTCCTGAGAGCTTGGTCTGAGATGAGGTGGGTTCTTCTAGATATTTCCATAGTCTGGGAGTGGGGTGGGGAGGACTTTGGTGATTAGTGTTACCTGTCACGTGGATGGGGTTTCAGGAACGAACGCTGAGGCAGATAGTCTCATTCTCTTTCTGGTGATGAGAACCATTGGAATGTTAAGAATGACTCTTGTCGCTGGCTTGTGGGCCGGTGCCTTCTGCTCTTTCTCATCTTTGCCAGGATCGATGTCAGCCGAGTACTTGTGTTTCCTTGGTGTCCTGGTCCACACGAATGCTGAAGGTCCACCTTCTCTTTGCTCTCTCATAGTTTCAGGATACCCCTTGGTTTGCCCCACTGCACATGTATTAATGACATGAAGACTGTGGGCGTGGATGCTCAGTGCCTTTTGACCATTGAGTGACTCCCACTCAGCAGCCGGGGCTCCTGGCCACCTTCACCTCGCCGCCTGCTGGCCGCAGTTGGTATAACTGCTTGTGATGCCTTCAGAATGATTCTAGCCTGGTTTGAGGGTGTGGGGGCTGTGGGCAGGCTAGGGTCTGTGTCACAGACATATCAGGGACCTGTAATATGTTTGTAAGCAACCAAATGGAGTGAATCTCAGGAGTGGCTGTCAGCATGGTGTTACGTGGTTGGGATCCCCAAGTCCCAAGTAATGGGGAAGAGAAGTTAGGTATCAGAGCTGCCAATAATAGAGGCTCTTCTAGCACCTTAAGCTGTTGTGTGAGGAGTGATTCTATCTTTTCTACAAGTGTGGCAGCAGTTCCTCTCTAAGCCAGTTTGTTGATGCGCCTGCCCTTTCTAGTGTAGTTAGAAGTTAGAGATCTTGCTGCCTGGTCCTAATTAGAACGCTTCCCTGGCGGAAGAGATGCACTATCCCACTCCTCGACTTTCTAATTGCTTAGTATTTTCAGAATTCCTATGACAAACCATAAGCTAGGGTGAGTGAGTTTCAAAGACACTTTTTTTTTTATGACACTACCATGAGAAATGCTGAAATAGACTATAGATTTTAGGAAAGACGGGGAATTTAGCAGAAGAGGAGTGGACAGTTACCTGTGTTTGCCAGTGGTTTCTGGAAATCTGGGAATGGTAGGTCACCATGCTGCACTCAGGTGAGGACTTTCTCCAGGCAGGTGCTCCTCAGCTCAGTATAGGGGTGGAGCAGAGGAAGGTGTTAAATGAGAGGATGCAGCATGGCGGGGCGGCTGTGGCAAGGTTCCCGGAAGGTCTCTGCTGCTGCTCTCACGCACACTGAGTGGGGGGACACAGGAGAACGGTGGAGTGAGGGAGAGTCAACTCAGCCCACTGAGGCCAGGAAGCGGAGTGACTTAGCCATCACTTGTTTTAGTGGCTCAAAAGCCCCAGAGAGGCTCCCCCTGCTGCCCGCCCCCCCAGGACTAGAGTTGAACTTGAGACCCACAGTCAGTAGAACACTTCTCATGGATCAAGATCCTATCCGGTAGTCCCCAGACACAATGCCACACCCGCTATGTGATGGAGCCTCTGGAGGAGTCCTGGTTCAGTGCAGTTCTTGTGGGCTTGAACTGCAGCCCCCTTGGCTGACCTCACCACTGGGTGGAGCTTTGAGGGCAGTGGTATTGGTGGGGGTCCTGTGATGTCACTGGGCGTAGGATGGAGGTGGGGCTGTGCTGCTCATGCTACTTACTAAGAAAAGGGCAGGTGCCTCCAGGGCTGCTGGGTGCCTGCCTGCTGGTGGGGGTCCAGGTCTGTTCCTGGTATGCTGGCTTCAGCCAGACAGTTCTAGCCTGGTAGGCAGCCCAGTGCACCATGGGAGCCTGGGGCACCAGGAGGGCTGCTTGTCTGGGGACCTGACATAGATGGAGAGAATAAAGGAGGGGAATATGTAGCCATCGCCTTGGCCCCTTCCACACACACCCCCATCCTGATTCTCAGAGCCACAGAGAATTCTGGCTTCTTGATGGACAGAAATAGGAAGGCTGTAGTCCACAAAATTTCTCTCAGCCCATGTACCTCTGGGTCCAGTCAGGGGTGCCTAGGAGAATATGCCAGAGGGGCGGGGTAAGGGGAGGGGAGAACAAATACCAGAGTGGGCAAGAGGGATCTCTGCATGCTGTGGCTAGCATATCCAGATCCCAGCCCAGTTCCTCCTAACCTGAATCCAGTTGCTGTCTGAGATGGAGGGACTGGGGCAGATGGGCACCCTAATTGCCACTCAGGATAAGTCACTTTTTATACTTGCCAGCAGAGGTGTCCTATCACTTTAAATCATGGCTGGCAGAGCAGTGACACCCTGGCCCCTTTGGAAGCCTGTTCCTTGTGGATTGCTCCTTTTATGAAGGCCAATTAGTAGCAGAGGAGACCGTCTGGAGCGTGCCAGCTAGAGCAAGGGAAAGGTAGACATGGAGCTGTCACAGGCCAGTGCCAGGTGGGGTTCCTGATTAATTGCCCTGAGGTCGGGCCCCTCTTGCTTGCTGTCTTTGGGAGCTGTTGTCCAGGGCAGTCCTCTCTACTGCCTTAGCTGCTTACATTCCATACCAGCATGGCCTCTGTGGGCTCTAGACTAAGGTCTGTGCACAGTGAATGTAAGGAGAGCTATAGTGCTAGAGAGAATCTGTAGGGTACCTTCTGCTTTGAGGGATCTTAGGAAGAAGTTCAGGTTGGGACTTGGCTTCACCTGGTCTCTCTCTGCAGGAGAGTCAGGTGATACAGGCAGCACAGGGAGAGACATTTAGGGATTTCCCATAGTGCTTGGGAGTGAGGGATGATTCCCCAGGAGGCTGCTACAAGCAGATCTTTCGGAGGTGGGGTGGGGCTAGGTCTGTCTGCTGGGGTCGAGAAGCAAGATGAAGGGTCTGGCCGATACCCCTAGACACCCTTGGAACGTGGCCGTGAGAGAATGCCAGCTCCGTGTTCGTTTCCAAAGCATTAAAAATTAAACTTCCTGGTCTTAATATCTATTTTTAAACCATGTCAGAGCCAGCAATTGCTGTCAATCAAGAGGGACTGGGGAGGAGGAGGGAAGAGATAGAAAAAGTCCCCGATGAGATGGAAAGAACTGCTGGGACCTACAGGCTTACCCAGCACAGCCGGGCTGGCCCTATCCTGGGTAACACTCCGGCGGCTTCTACCTCGTGTGCTTGGCTGCCCTTGGCTGAACTTGGCAGCAGGCTCTCTATGGCTTAGGAGGGTATTGGGTCCCAGTTGAGTCCATTCACTCACTCCATAACTATTTGCTGAATGCCCGCTCCATGCACAGGAGCCTCCAGTTGGTAAGGACAGGGCAGATCAGTTTTCGCAGGCCAGGAAGTCATGGAATCAAGAGGTCATTTGTCCTGTCCCGCATACAGCATTTGAACCCAGCGCTGCCAAGGGTAGCGTCTGTGTAGGTGAGGGCCGCCTGCTTCCCCAACATTTTAGGGTGGGCAACTGCAGGCCTGGAACCAGCATCCTGGCTTGACTTGGCCTTTCCCTTCCCTGCCCCCACACGGCTGTACTCTAATTCCCCTTCTCTGAAATGTTTCTCGTATCAGAAAGAAAGAGAATTTAAAAAGAGCTTCAGGCATTCCTCCTCCCCACTTAGTTTGTAAAATACCACCAGTGAATCGTGGGTTTTTCTGTTTCCCTCTATTGAAAGGACAGATAGATGCCCTGTGGCCTGTGGACACGGTGTGCATTTATTGAGTACTTGTAAGCCATGCTG